GAAAGAAGGAAGGAATTTAATTCCATTTTTTTTCCTTTTTATTTACCAAAAAGACCAAAATATACTTTGTTTTATGTTTTGTGTAATGTTTGTAGGATATGCGTTACTTTATGAGACCAGGTGAAAGAAGTTATGATGCTCTTGGGTTAATGAAACAATTAAGTAAACATACAACTTCAACATATGCAAATGCTTGAAATGTTTTGGGAGATGGAACTCCTAATACCATTCTAAAGAAAAGATTTTCAGAAAAAGGCGAAAAGACTCGCGAAGAATCAAATCTTCCAGTATGTTTATTTTCTTTGCTTTTTTTTTTTGTAACAACCAAAAATTTTCAACCAAATTCTCATTTTTAATTTCATAAAATCAAATGTTATATCATTAATTCTCAAAAACTAATCAATAAGTTTTCAAAACAATTATTCAATCCAGGACCACCACTTTATCTCTATGCATGTGTACAATCATGTCAGAGCATTCCCACGATCCTCGGAAGTACCTGAAACACATAACACATAACACAGTAAGCATAAATGCTTAGTGAGTTCCCCAAAATACCACATACACATACTAGCCACCTTATGGTACAATACCTACCGGTCACTGTGTCTCAGTGGGATCTTCCGATCCCATAATCTTTGTAGACCTTCCGGTCCTACCATGTTAACCTTCTTGTCCTAACCCTGTTGACCTTCCGGTCCAATCCTGTTTGACCTTTCGGTCCAACCCTGCTTGACCTTCCGGTCCAACCCATACAACATATACATATCATATCAAATCATATAACTCATACAAGCACATAAGACCTTCCGGTCACACATAGTTACCATTCCAGGTAAAGTATAGCGAGAAGACTGACCTTGTAACTAGAAGATAACATACAAGCTCTCGGGATCCTGAACCCGCCTCAGCCTATCATAATAGACAAACATCTTAATCATTTTCCATCCTTTTATCCTTTTTACTCATAAAGCCCTCTCGTTCTCTTTTTATCTCTCGGAATTGGGTAAAAGACCATTTTACCCCTCTATGGTCTCATATACCCCTTATTGACCCATCCCATAAACCAACATAAGTCAACATAATTCAAACTGTCCATGCCGACCTGACTCATCGAGTGCACTCCCATGACTTGCCGAGACCAGTCGCATTTCTTCGAGTTTCGCCATAGGGTCTACTCAACTCGTCGAGTTTCCCCTCAACTCGATAAGTTCATATTGGGTCAAAGATATCAGGAAAAACCCGCTACGACTCGTCGAGTCATCCAACAGACTCGGCGAGTTCATCCCAATCGAATTCTCATTCAGCCATCTGTGACTCTAACTCATAGATCCAACCTCCTAACATCCAATAATCACGTAAAGGTTCGATTTTTACGTCCATGCATCGCACATCTAGCTCTTATTTGTCAATATAACCCTCATAATGGTGTTTTAGGCTCAATACTCTTATGTGATTGCATAAATCTTTAATCATGGGACTCTTTGGACCTCTCAAGGTCTCATGGGACTCTTTGGACCTCTCAAGGTCCATATATGTAGTCTAAGCCTCGAGGGGACTTCTTATACTCAATATCTTCACTAAAAGAGGGTAAAGAAACCCTAATTTCATGAGATCTACTAATCATACGAAAATAGGTAAAGATTTATACCTTAAACAGTAGCCTAGAATGGGATAAAAGTATATCTGAGCTCCTCTGGTTGATTTAGCTTGAATAATCTCCCCTTCCTTGCAAGAATGCACCAAGATGATGAAAATGGCTCCCTCTTTCTCTCTAAGCTCTCTGGATCGATTACGGTCTCTCAAAGGGAAGTGTGGGCGCAAATGAAGGCCATAAGGGCCTTTAAATAGGTCATAAACCCGAAAAATTAGGGTTTTCCTCAGCAGCACTGACTCGACGAGTTAGCCCCCAACTCGTCGAGTCCAGTCATTAAAACACATCACCAAGCGCGATCCTACTCGACGAGTTGAGGCACCAACTCATCGAATCCCTCTCTGAAATTCCATATATTTATATAAAATAAAATACTTGGAAATCCAAATGTTACATTTTTGCAACTATTATTATATCTGTAAAAAAAGTGAGCCCAATCCACATTAGAATTATGCAACATATTTTGGTTCTTGGTTTGCATATTTCACTTTTTTTTTGTTTTAATAATTTGAGGTTTATATATGTTGGGGGTTTTTTAATTTTTTTGCAAAGTGAAAGAAGGGTGTTGGATTTTAGTGAATGTGGGAGTCCAAGAAAGGGTGGTGGTGGTGGTGGTGAAAGTTTGACAAGCCCATCTTCATACCTCTTAAAAAGTTGCAGGTAGAGATTGTGGAGTGGCGGTCAATGTGTAAAACAAACATCCTAATTTTTATAAATTTTATATTTTTTTATATAAAATTGCCATTTGTTGTGTGAACATATGGATTTTCTTCCCTTCTCCGCCCAACCCATATCCTATTTTGAATTAATATAAACTTAATTAAAGTCATTGTATATCTATATCTATATCTTATCTATGAATTTGAGTATTTGAGTAGTTAGTGTTCTTTGTTTGGGCATATCAATATGTTTAATAATCAGGTTGAGAAATCTCAAATCAGCACAATGTTTAAATGTAGTGTATGTTCAATAAATAAGTTGAAATTGGGTTAGACTTATTTAATTTTTAAATGGGTTGTATTTTCAATAAATAAGTTGAAATTCTTTGCAGGTATACCTACTACTAAATATGCCATGTGTTAGGAAATATTTCCTAAACTAATGCCTTGAAAAACGAGGGCTTCACAATAGAAAAGGAAGGTGTGTCAAATGAATTTCCAATTCTGTGATAACAAGTCATAATAAATTAGTTGACCTTCATAGTAACAAAACTGAGGGTCGTCCAATCATTTTTTCTTGAGGAAAATGAATAAGAAAGTATATATATATATATATATATATATATATATATATATATATATCTTCTCTACTAATAAAACAGTACTAGAAATGCCACCTGGCATTCCCTTAGCCACTCACCCTTGCATTTTCCCGCTCAAAAATTATAAGTGAAGTTCCCACTTCGCCCTTCTATTCTCAAAAATAAAACTATACACATCAGGAAACATAAATCGTCAATCAGTAAATATATAAATCAGGAAATTTCAAATTTAATTAAGTGGAATATTGAAGATCAAATCAATCCCAATAAATCAGGTAATCAATTTAAATTCCATTTTATATCAATCCCAAAAAATCAGGAAATCAGTTTAGGAAGAGATGATATATTTCAATACAATTTCAGAAGTCAATACGATTTTAAGGGTCACGTATTCATCATCAGGTCAGCAAAACTACATTGCTCTTTACCTTTTAGATGTTCTATTTCATCTACATTCTTAATCGATTTCATCACTTTTCCCTCTATTTTTTTACCTGTTATGTATAACAGTTTGATACATTGGTATTTCTTTATGTATATTCTGGTACATATAGTCACGATCTGTGTATGTCGATTTTTGGTTTTCTTAATATATGTATCTTATATAACTGTATGTGACACATTAGAGTCATAGGACCATTCAATTTCTTCTACACCTATTTGCTTCCTCCAATGATTTGGTCCATCTAAATACTTAATCGTAATTAGGGTATTTGGATGGTTAGACCAATAATTCTTCCATAATGATTTTTCTTACATGACACGTTTTCTGAAAACTTGAAAATACTTTTATCAGTTGGTGGTTTCTTTTAACATCATATTCATATAAACTACAAACATGTTGAAAAAGTAACTCAAATTATCAATTCATGTGATTTATCAAACCCGTTTAAATAATAAACAAAAAAATTACAAATTTCATTTTAAACTTCCTGTTACACTATATCCTATGTTTAGGAATCTACTCTCAAAGTACAATACTATATTTTGGAATTGATCATCTTTTAGTTTATTTTTCTAAATATATGTTTTATTGTCTATATGTACGTATATGTTTATATCTGTTTTTGAAAAGTATGTTTGCAAGTGATACAATTAAATATATAAATCAATCAGTGCTTTACGATTTTCCTGTTTATATCCTAATTTTTTTGTTAAATATACAGGTTTTTTCTGTTTAGTTTTCGATTTTTAGTTTTTTTCTCATTATATACCCTTAAGGGTATATCAGTAAATATGTAATTTTCTCATTGTTTTCTTGGTAACATCTACACTTAAATGATAAACAAAAGAATTGATTATTTCGCATTCTACTGTGAAATACTTCGCATCTTCATTCTTACACCCTTCGCATCCCTTCGCATTAATCACCTTCCATTTTAACCTAATTAATCAAATGCGAACCACAAAATTTTCATTCCAGATACGAACACAGTTTAGTTCTTGAACTCTAAACTTGCGAAATCAAAAATTCATATGTTGAACCCATATGCGAATATTAACCCAATTGACTTCAAATTGATTCACAGATGCAAACACTCGATTGTTTTACTTTCGCAAAATGAGCATCAACAACTCCACAATCGAGTTTTTAAATTCTTGCAAACAACAATTTCACAGTCCTTGACTTCGCGTTTTTCTTCACGAATCATCCCTCAATCATCAATCCAATTGCGAATCAAAACTCATATGTTCTTGCTTTATCGGTTCATCGACTACACTCATAAAAAAAGTTATGCAGATTGGAAAAATAAATAAACATATATCTTTTGTTGTTTTAATTAAGGAAATAAATATTTTATATGAATACTCACCTGGAAAAACGCATATTATAATTGTCTAATTTAATCGTAACAGCCTACCAATGTACTTTCTTCTTGACTGTTTGATTGTTTTTTTCTGTGTGCTGATTATAATTGTCTAATTTAATGTAATTTTTTTTTTAACTTGCAAGGTACAATGGAACATATTACTCCTATAAAGGAAATTGACTCAATCAAGGACGATTTCACAATTAAAGTTCGGATCATACGTCTTTGGACTCAAAAGTCAAGATTTGATGCGAACGACACATACTCGATAGAAATGATTTTGATGGATGAGGAGGTATAAGATGGATGTATTCAATTATTATTTTTATAAAAAATTATTCATACTCATAAGCAATTATATTATTCATACTCATAAGCAATTATATTTAAATATTTATTATTTCTTTTATTTTAGGGAAGGAAAATTCATGCATCATGTCTGAAGAAATGGTTTCCTAAATTCAAGCGCTATTTAAAAGATGATAGTTCAATTTACGTCAAGAAACCTAACGTCGCACCAAATACTTCAAAATTTAAGTTTGCTCATCCGGAATCAAAACTAAATTTTTATCACGATACAATTGTAAAAGATTGTGAAAACTTTTCTGGATCTGCACATGGCTTTCATTTTGTTGACTTCAATACTATCGTTTCTAACAACATCCTGGAGTCAAACTCTTTTGGTTGGTTTATTTAATATTAACTTTTGCTATATAACATCCTAAATTCTTTCTTCGTATTACAATTTGATATTTTATATTAAATTATATTTCCTTGCTTTTGTAGATATTATTGGACACATTTTTGAGTATGGGCATATGGATACCTCAGAACAAGATAAATCAAAACACAAGATGCTCTTGCATCTTCAAGATATAGAGTATTCACCATTATTACAAACAAGTAATATAGCTTCATTTATATTATTTACAATATTTGTTTATTATTTCAGGGATACTAAGCTTAAGATAACTTTGTGGGGTCATAATGCATACTACATGCATGATTTTCTTGCTAACAATAACACCTTGCTCCAGTTGTTGTTATTGTTCAATTTGCCAGGGTGAAGTTTATTAATGGTTTGTAACTATTTTTAACAAGCATAATCTATATATATATATATATATATATATATATATATATATATATATATTATTGAATAATCAAATTTATTTTGGCAGGTCGTCCTTTTTCATCCACCTACTTTGATGTTAGTAGGGTTTTCATAAACAATGATATCGATGAAATTACAATCTACAAAAACAAGTATTTTCATTTAGAATTTCCTATGTATTATCAGATTTATTTATTTCATACTATAATAAATTTAAATCATTTCTTTGTTGTAAATGAACAGATTGGTCTCTGAAAATGGACAACAACTGTCATCAAGTGGAATTAAAATGATTGCATCAAAACAAGACACAGAACATGATGACTTTCTGAAAAATCATTTGTTTTCTAACATTGAAGACTTGTTTGAACCTTTGGAGGTACTTTACATTATTTTTAAAATTGTTAGTTTAATGCACTTATGTTTTTAAATTTTAAATGTTTTTTCATATTTAGAGTATATTGTTATAACTAAACTAAAATACACTTTCGCAAAATAACATTTATTAACAATGAGCATTATTTTAATATCCAGGAAAAGACAGTCATTATTGTTGGTACTGTTAAGGGAATACGTCAAAATATACGTTGGTATTACCTTGCTTGTAGCAACTGCAAAAAGTCAGCAAAAGAAAAAGAGTCTTCAACTGATAAGGTTGATGGTTCTCATGAAGTGGCCAAAATCGTTACTTATGAATGTGCTAATCTTAAATGCAAAAATATCAAAATTTCGGTTATTCCAAGGTATTAGATATTAATTTTATATAATAATAATATATGTTTATCATAATTGTCTAATATAATATAATTTTATACTTTATTTAGATTTAAAATCCCACTTCGGGTTCAAGACAACACAGGAACATTGACTTTAACTTTATTTGACCAAGAAGCAAAGAAGTTGTTCAAATACACAGCTAAAGAGTTGTATGATAAAAACAAGAAGGTATTATTTTATATTTTAACTTGGCATCAGTTTGGATTTTTTTCAAAAGGTGTTTACAATTGTGTTGGCTTAAAACTTGCCATTATATATTTTACATACAAATTTTCTAATGATATTTATTTACATTTTAGCTTGGCAACAATTTGGAATTGTATCCAATGGAGTTGAAAGTTGTGTTGGACAGAAAGTTGGCAATTAAGATTGATATCACACGTTACAATGTCGATAATAAAAGTAATCTTTATGGGATATCAAGATTAACGAGAATGCAGACATAATTGATGAATTGGAAAAAAATAATCTTACTCCACAGGTTTTTTCAACAATTATATTTTGTTTTTTAACACATTGACCCAACAATATCTGACTCAATATCATTTGTTTTCATCTTGTGATGCAGCCTGCTAATTCTGATTCATTCTTGATTGGTTCTTCAGATGTTGGTTCTCATGACACCAAAGTTCTCAAGGTTTTAGTTTTTAAAATATATTTCTCAAATATTTGTTTTAATTTATAACAACTAAGTAAATATTTTTTTAGGATTCTTTTTCACAGACCGGTGAAAATTTAACTCCATGTGCTAGGGACAAGTCAACTGCAACAAGTCCTATAAAATTCATTTCTACACCAATTGAGTTGAAAAGAAACCTTGCTACATGCATAGATATTGATGAAATGGAGAATTTGTCTACTTCTAAATATCCTAGACTGTCACCACCAGATGAACAACCAACTCCTCTTTTGGTACCCAAGAAAGAAAAGTAAATGCATTTTACTTCGACAAACAATCTTACTTCGTGTTTAATTTTGATTTCGCATCATAGACTCCTAAGCCGTTTACGTTTTTATCTTTCTTGGTTTTGAATGTTTTTTTTGGGATTTCATGGTTGTCATTTTTGTTTCTTGAAAGTACATTCGGACCATTGGGTTTTTTTGTAGTCCTATAATTTGGTTTGCCATGTTATTTTGTTTTTCCTACAACTTATTTTAAACTACATTGCTTTATTCCCACAAAATCTTGAAGAATTACATTCATATGTGTAATTATGCAGTTAATTATATGTTTCATTTTACATATCAATTTATTTGACATACCACTTTATTTTACCTAAATGTACTTCTGTATTTACACTATCTCTGTAATTAACTAACTTATTTACCCATAATCAACTTAAACACATAATAACACGTGAACTGCATTTGACTCCAATATTGAACAAATCACATTTCACAAAACTACATTGCTCTTTACCTTTTAGATGTTCTATTTCATCTACATTCTTAATCGATTTCATCACTTTTCCCTCTATTTTTTTACCTGTTATGTATAACAGTTTGATACATTGGTATTTCTTTATGTATATTCTGGTACATATAGTCACGATCTGTGTATGTCGATTTTTGGTTTTCTTAATATGTGTATCTTATATAACTGTATGTGATACATTAGAGTCATAGGACCATTCAATTTCTTCTACACCTATTTGCTTCCTCCAATGATTTGGTCCATCTAAATACTTAATCGTAATTAGGGTATTTGGATGGTTAGACCAATAATTCTTCCATAATGATTTTTCTTACATGACACGTTTTCTGAAAACTTGAAAATACTTTTATCAGTTGTGGTTTCTTTTAACATCATATTCATATAAACTACAAACCTGTTGAAAAGTTAACTCAAATTATCAATTCATGTGATTTATCAAACCCGTTTAAATAATAAACAAAAAAATTACAAATTTCATTTTAAACTTCCTGTTACACTATATCCTATGTTTAGGAATCTACTCTCAAAGTACAATACTATATTTTGGAATTGATCATCTTTTAGTTTATTTTTCTAAATATATGTTTTATTGTCTATATGTACGTATATGTTTATATCTGTTTTTGAAAAGTATGTTTGCAAGTGATACAATTAAATATATAAATCAATCAGTGCTTTACGATTTTCCTGTTTATATCCTAATTTTTTTGTTAAACATACAGGTTTTTTCTGTTTAGTTTTCAATTTTTAGTTTTTTTCTCATTATATACCCTTAAGGGTATATCAGTAAATATGTCATTTTCTCATTGTTTTCTTGGTAACATCTACACTTAAATGATAAACAAAAGAATGATTATTTCGCATTCTACTGTGAAATACTTCGCATCTTCATTCTTACACCCTTCGCATCCCTTCGCATTAATCACCTTCCATTTTAACCTAATTAATCAATGCGAACCACAAAATTTTCATTCCAGATGCGAACACAGTTTAGTTCTTGAACTCTAAACTTGCGAAATCAAAAATTCATATGTTGAACCCATATGCGAATATTAACCCAATTGACTTCAAATTGATTCACAGATGCAAACACTCGATTGTTTTACTTTCGCAAAATGAGCATCAACAACTCCACAATCGAGTTTTTAAATTTTGCAAACAACAATTTCACAGTCCTTGACTTCGCGTTTTTCTTCACGAATCATCCCTCAATCATCAATCCAATTGCGAATCAAAACTCCAAATCGTTCGATTATTCGCCCAATTCCAAAATCAAATAACAGATCCTTCGTATGATTCATTTAATAACCAAGGCTTCTTTTACTTCAAAATGACCGTATTGCCCCTAACTTGATAAGTTATTTCATATATCGCGATTAACAATTAAGAAAAATCAATCAATCAATCAATTTGTATAAGAAAAATGCGAAATTCTTAGCTTTCTTCCCCAATTCGCATTCTACTGTAAAATTCACATTCTTCATTCACCCTCTTTCTTCGCATGTTCCAGTCATTTTTTTTTAGTTCATTCGCATTTCAGTTGTTTGTCTCACCAAATACGAAATGAATATTAACCATAATCACCTTCGTATCTTTAACCCCAATCCATACAACCTCATATGCGAAACCCAATTTTGATTTGTATTACCAAATGCGAACATTTTTGCTTTTACACGTGAACTGCATTTCACTCCAATATTGAACAAATCACATTTCACAGTCCTTCTTGACTTCGCATTTTTCTTCACGAATCGTCCCTCAATCAATAAACCAATTAACCCAATTGCTAATCCAAAATCAAAACTTCTGTTTTATATGCGAACCCAACTGATTGGCTTTTCAAAATCAAATTCGCAACTCCAAATGGTTCGATTATTCGCCCCAATTCCAAAATCAAATAACAGATCCTTCGTATGATTCATTTAATAACCAAGGCTTATTTTACTTCAAAATGACGATATTGCCCCTAAATTGATAAGTATTTCATATATCGCAATTAACAATTAAGACAAATCAATCAATCAATCAATTTGTATAATAAAAATGCGAAATTCTTAGCTTTCTTCCCCAATTCGCATTCTACTGTAAAATTCACATTCTTCATTCACCCTCTTTCTTCGCATGTTCCAGTCATTTTTTTTTACTTCATTCGCATTTGAGTTGTTTGTCTCACCAAATACGAAAGGAATATTAACCATAATCACTTTCGAATCTTTAACCCCAATCCATACAACCTCATATGCGAAACCCAATTTTGACTTGTATTACCAAATGCGAACATTTTTGCTTTTACACGTGAACTGCATTTGACTCCAATAATGAATATTAACCATAATCACCTTCGCATCTTTATGTTGATTATTTTAAACATGGAACATTTATGTCTATTATTTATAATAACTATTATTTTTGTCACGATAAATATGTTATTTTTAATAAATAATCAATAACAAATTGTAAACAAAATTTATATCTTTCGTTCTCTAAAATTAATTCATACATTTTTGTAATGGTTGCAGCATATTTACTTATCTTCTGTAAATAACCTATATTCAACCAACTATTTCCTAATATTCTATACTCCTTTTTTAGATGAAATTTGAATATTAAACTAATTTTTAGTTGTAATCTTTTAAATTCCGAAAAATCAGGAAGAAAATTATATCTAATAAAGATCCAACAACAATAAAATCATATAATCGTAATCTTTTTCCAATATTCAAGCATATAACTTTAACTCAAAACGTGAAATCCAAAATTTTGAAACACCTCATTCGTCTTCTTAATGTTCAATTGTTTCTGCGATTTTTTTTCATTAAGCTTACATCAAACTGCTTCGTTAAAGTTGTAATCCTCATTCCAGTTCTACCTGCAAGATTTCCATATCCATATGTCAGGTTAGTATTATCAGTTTAGATCACTTTGTTTTATCTATGAATTTATGGTTGAAATTTACAACAATAATCAATATGCTGGAATAGATGTTTTTCTAATTGTAAAAATATAATCTTGAATAGATACATAAGATCAATAAGCAATTTATAATCATCACGATTATCGTGTATCACACAATTTTACCTTCATTGATTCCATGGAGATCTAGGGTTTTAACCCCTGATATCATCCGAACCCACGATTGGTTGAAATTGGGGAAACAGTAGATTTAAATCTAATAAACCTAGGTTGGAAATGAGGATGATGAGTCATGATGCTAACATTTTAATAAACGATATCTTAATAAAGGTAACTTTTTAAATACATTTACTTTATTATCATTATTTATTTAATTCTAACTAACTTCAATTGTATTATATAAACATATTATGTACATAATTTCACATTTCATTTCCTAACCTATGTCTTCTTATGCAGAAAACAACAGTAACATGTACCACATGCAGGCCAAAGAGAAAAGAAGACAAAGAAAAATATATTTGGAAAATAAAAGATCGAAGAAAATAAAAACAATACCAAACGTTCCAAGTATATCATTACAGCATCTCTTCAAAAAAACCATTAACTATAACCGTATTAGTATTTTATATTCCATCTTTTACTATTATATAGTTGAATACATATATTTACAAGTTTTATAAGTTATTTCTATTTGCAGATCAATCAACCAACATTGTTCGTCAAACTCAAAATGTCAATTCATTTACAACACCTGCAAAGCATAACACAACCATACAATACTGTCCTTCCTTTACAGATGTTAGAACTCCATTTTCTAACATTACAAATGTTATAAATCCGTTATCTAACATTACGAATGGTAATTATTTTTGGTTTTTAAAATATACTATTATCCATTATGTAAATATTTATTTATTTAGTTAACTATTTTATTTTTATTTTATTCAGATAACATTGGTTTCGATAAATATATCACTTCCAAGTTAGCAAAGAAAAGACAGTACCATGTACTTTCAAATGATATGACATCAAAAAATGCATCTACAGTAACAACTTCTTCATCATCAATCAAGTTAAATCTAGGATGTCATAAATTAAAAACGAAGACAAGACATTTATCCCCTATCCCATTGATTGATTGACAGAAGATGTAGAAAATATACATCAAGTGAACAATGAAAATCGTATAGTTGGTATCTCAAATGGTAATGAAAAAATAAAATCCATTTTACATTTCAGATACTATGTTCTATATAATTATAAAATTCATTGATATTTTATTCAACGCTTTTATTTTACAGAATATTTGGATCATGGTGATAACTTTTATTCTTTATGCAGGAACAAACAATAATATGTACTACTTGCAAGCAAGAGAGAACAGAAGACATAGAAAATTATATTTGGATAATAAGAGATCGAAGAAAAGGAATACAAAATACACTGTTCAAAATCCGTCTACACCACATGTCTTGAAAAACACGGATAACTGTAATTTTTTTTTTTTAAAATTTTAAACTTCATTAACCTATATAAAAAATACATACATTCTCATCATTTTATATTATTCCCCTGTAGTAATATAAATTTGAAATTGTAATTTTTAATTTATAATATATGTCTTCAATTTTTATAACATGTTCTTTTTTACAGATCAATCAAAAAACGTTGTTCAACAAAATGAAAATGTCTTTTTCTATAGATCACGTGGAAACCAAAGTACACCCCTACAATC